GAGTGTTAAATTGGGGGAGAGGAAACAAACAAGTAAGAACGGTGCTAGTGAGAATTATACATTTATCCAGGAAGACCTTTGCACACTGTGTAAAGGATTTGGAGGCATATAAACCCAGGCTGAGAAAGAATTACTTAATAAAGCTATTTGACAAGAAATTATGGAAATTACACATGACCTATGAATACATGACAATGTGAAAACCTTCTGGTAATCAACAGAATATTAAAGCAACAATGAAATATCATGTTCTGCTTATCAAATTTGCAGTTTAAAAGATGATGACAGTGTTGGGAGCATCTGGGGAAATGGGATATCTAATAAAATGCCAGGGGTGGGGGAAGTTAATTGCTACGACCTTTATAGAAAGCAATCTGTCAAAGTGCATAAAAACCCATTAACAGTCAATGGCTACATATTCACTTATAAACAATCAGTTGTGTCAAAATTTGAAAACGAAGATGTTCAGCACTGTTTACTTGATAATATGAAAAGCAACCAACATGCAAACTAGCGCTCAGTTTATATAAATTATGAAATAAAGGTATTTGTTGCTATTAATGACCACATTTCAGACAGGTATTCAGTGGTGCAGAAAAAAATGTGTATATATATGAAGAGAAAAATAGGTGACAAAAATATTTTTAGCACAATGTAATGTATCTTAACGTGCCATGTATCTGCGAGTATATATACTATAAACAAAAGTTTGGATGCAGATAGGCGGAAACAATGATTATTATCTCCCTGTGGTAGATTTACAGACCATTTAAATTTTCTTCTTCGCATTCTGTTATTTTACAAATTTCTCTGAATTAATATGCACTATGGTTATATTCACAAGTATGTTCTTACATTTGGATTTCTGTAATGAACAACCGAAGTCATTGTAATGTATACCAGTTTTTTACATCTGTACCTGTGGAGACTGACTCAGCTGATCTTTGTGTTCTTTTTGTTTCTAAAATTCTACAAAATATTTTATGAGAAAACAGATGGTGATGCAGGCATATATGTACACACAGACAGACACACCAAGACATCAAAAAGCAAATGCTGCTTAGTTAGAGAGAATGAGTTTCAGAGAGAGGGTGTCAGGGTTTTCCGATGGGAATCTCCTGTGGCCCTACTCTCATAAGCAATTGTTCTGGGTGTGGACATCTTAGCATCAGTGTCTTTTTAGGGTGATAATGCTGATTATGATGAATAAACAATAAATATATGTACAAATACACTGCTTACCTTGTGCCAAATACTGCCTGCTACATACCCATTGTATCTTACATATTAAGATAACCATTTTGTCTGCAAGGTAATAGGAATTAAATAAAATGGTCAAGGTCTCATTATTAGTCTTCCCACTATGGTAATCCTTATATTCTCTGGACTTCTAACTACTTTTATCTTTTATTTTACTTTGTAGAGATAAGGGTTAATTTCATCATGGACTTTTTTTTTTTTCATTTGTTTTCTGAAGGAGCAAAGGAATTTCCTTTGTAACCTCTGAACTATTTACTAATTTACTAACAATGCCTGAATTCCCTTTGATACTTTAAACTGTCAGATCACCTGATCTTTTTTGAAAGATAAAGACTAAGGTAATAAACTATGCTTAAAAGTTACATTGAAATCATTTATTATTTGGAAGCCTTTAAAAACTGAAAAACAAGTTTTCTGTTGTTGATGTTATGATGAAAGGGTGGGGAGAAATCCTCTTGATAAGTAAATTAAACTTACCTAACAGCTTTACAAGTGCTTTACTAAACCTTCACCAACTGATAAGAATCATATAGCAACTGTGGTCCCACCCGGAAAAATTATTCTCAAGGTTACAGTTTGCACTTCCATGTTGCCATGAGATTAGGCTGAGGATCTAAGTGCTATATAAACCGTGAAACCAAAATGATTAAAAGAACAGAAAGCTGATCTTATGAGAACAGGCTCCTATATAATGCACCTTACAACAGAGAAGAAATGAAACCGCTCATTACTTATGATAACGATCAGTTTTCACGTAAATTCACTCAGGAGGAGAAAAAGGGGGAACAGAGATGAACGATTTAAATTCCCTATGAGGATGACTCCTCATAGTGAGGGTTGTTAACTAAGAGAGCAGAATTTTGAAATGGATTTAAATATTTATCTAAGTTCTGATTGCACAGATAGGTAACATGCAGATCTCTAGGAATTATCTTATATTTCTCAGGGAAAGGTACTAGTTGTATAGCTTGTATTATGCTAATCTTGGGTCAGCCTAATCTCTGGCATGTATGATTGTTATTTATTTATTTATTTTTTAGTCTGAGAATGTTATGTCAACACATCTTTCCCTTTATATAGAAGTTCATGTAATAGACATTATTATACCTTATAGATGTGGGAACAGATTTTTTTTAAAAAAATTTATTTATTTCTGAGAGAGAGAGAGAGAGACAGTGTGAGCAGGGGAGGGTCAGAGAGAGAGGGAGACAGAATCCAAAGCAGGCTCCAGGCTCTGAGCTGGCTGTCAGCACAGAGCCCCACGCGGGGCTCAAACCCACAAGCTGTGAGATCATGACCTGCGCTGAAGTCAGATGCTTAACCAACTGAGCCACCCAGGTGCCCCTGTGGGAACAGATTTGTAAGAAGATTTAAATTTTTCTGTTTCTGAAAAGATTTTTAAATTTATTTTTATTTTTTTAATTTTTGAGAGAAAGAGGGCTGGGAAGGGACAGAGAGAGAGGGGGACAGAAGATCTGAAGCAAGTTCTGTGTTGACAGCAGACAGCCCAATGCAGGAACCAACCTTGAGCCGAGGTCAGACCCTTGACTGAGTCACCCAGGCGCTCCCCTCCCCAAAAGATTTTTAAATAGAACACATCAATTCCAATTTTCTTGTTGAAATATGGTCCCATCTAAAGACAGGGATGAGTGGATTAGAAACTCAGAACTTCCATTCTTTCTCGGCTAATATTCTCAGGATGTACCGGTGAGGTCAACAGGAAATGTGAATGTTATTCCAGCAACCAGCTTGCCTGAGAGAAGTTTTTACCTGAACTTGAAGCTTGTGAAACTTTTTTAGATGAATGCTGAGTCTCAACCTTAGACATAATCTGTTCTCAAAATTCATGTGAATTTTGCCAATTTATTCAATACAATTTATATTTGGGAAGAATATTTTTCCTCAAAACATAATGGCTACCCCATTACATTATAACAAGGGATGCAAAATCGTAATTTGGGCTCTGAGTGCGATTCTACCATGCCTCAGTTCTGAGGCAACATCTACATATTAAAGTACATTTGTAATCCTGTTTTTCTTTTGTACTTGGGTGAGTCTTCTGTTAAAACAATAATATATCAGAACATCAACGTGGACCAGGCTGTCTTCTGAGGAAGCTGCAAACAAAATTCTTTTTCAGAAGAAAAGAACACACAAATAAACTAAAACTGGTGTTTTCTCTTACTTGTGTAATAATTGACTCAAAGTCATGCTTGATTTAATGTCCTGGAAAGAAAGAATGTGAAAACACTCCTCAAACAGGAATCAACTTCGGCTCTTCCAGGACACAGCCTCTTATTGAAGAGGACGTCTTTATGTGCCTACACATGCTAATATGTCCTTGCTTTGTTCGTTGTACAATTTCATTTCTGGAAAATCCGCCTTGATTTAACAGTTCCCTTGAATACTACTTCCCACTAATTCTCGGCTAACAAGGAGAAACCACCACAAAAGATTCACGTTCTTCACCAAGCAGAACTCCCACATCTGAATGTCATTCTAAATTGTAGTTGTAAAATAATCCCTATAATGTGTCCAGCCAATCCACCGCTCTGAAAGTCTAAATAATTTACACTTCATTTACCTTCTCTGTATTTGAGAGATGATATAATTAAACAATTAGTTCAAGGGAAGACCAAATAGCATATGCACATGATAAATTAAGTCTACCCCTCTAGTGGAATATAAGAAGAACTTTGAACCAAAAAGGGAAATAAATGATCTAATCTTGAGGTGTATTCCATGATCACTTCTTGCTTTAAATATGCATGTTTAGGACACAAACAGACATCTTCAGTACTAGCACACCCAAGCATCCCTCAGGACTCTTCTAGAATGGCGAAGGTTTAAAACACAGAAACTTACAAACTATGGCTATATACATGATCAGAACTACTACCAATGGCAGTTTTCTGAATTTCTAATATGATTAATTTCTAATATTTTCAATTTTTAATAGTACTGCTGACTAAGTAACACATATGTATTTATTCTACAAATGTAAACTAGATAAGTAAAAAGGATTTAAACAAGGTATATATCTTCTCTGGTAGGTATAGCTCCACCAAAATTTTTATTTACTTCACTTTACACGTTTTCTGTCATCTTATTTTAGACTCTCAAACACTTGTACAAACATGATAGACATAAAATAGCACAAAACTCCTCTTTTGCTAATAATTTAAGCCAAACAAATAACAGTCATATACCTATCAGTCAACTAATCTGTCATTTCTTTATGTTCTTAATAATGAAAGAAATAGAAAGAAATAGAAGGGTGCCTGGGTGGCTCAGTCAGTTAAGTGTCCATCCTCGGCTCAGGTCATGATTTCAAGGTTCATGAGTTTGAGCCTTGCATCCGGCTCTGTGCTAACAGCTCGGAGCCTGCTTCAGATACTCCCTGCTCCTCACTTCCTCGTGCTCTCTCTTGAACATCAATAAACATTAAAAAAAAAAAAAAAAGAAAGAAATAGATCTGTGCAACCAAGCTAACTATACCAAAGAATCCAAAATTACATGCTCTTGGCTTGGCTATTTGATTTCAGTTTACCTAAATTATTACTTGAAGAGTAACAGAGAGACAGCAAATGCCAATAAGAGTTATAACCCAAACAATAATTTACAAGCAGCAATCAGCTAAGTGATTCCTTTGTGCAAACAGTCACATCTGCCTAAAATCAATCTCCTTTAAATTTACCCCCACAGCAGGCTCAGACTGCGATTACCCATCTTCTACATACTGGGAATTTGTTGGATCCTGTGGACAACGACAAATGCATCAGACAGCCCCACTTTCACTGGGTGATTGGTCGAACTTATCTGTGTGACCAAGACAGGAATCTGGAAAAGAAAAAGCAGATTGCTCTGTGTTAGATTTGAATTTCATTTCGGAGTGGCAGCGGGGAGTGTGATCATCTTGTTACCGGAGAAAATCAGGTGCTAGAGATGAAGAACCAGGGAGAGCGAGCAGGAAATATTAGAGAAGAAAGACATACGATACCAAAAAATAACATCTGTTTAGTGCTTTTGATGGGTTAATGCAACAAAAGAGGTCCTTGTCCAACAGACAGCTACTTGTTGATGAAAGTAAATAGATTTTCTGAGAATCTAACTGGTGCCAGAGGCTGAAAACATCACACATATAGGCACACTATGAATACATTTAGTGCTGTCTTTCATTTCTGGAATAGAGACTCTTTTACCATTGTTTTCCTAAAATACTTTATTCTATATTTCTTTTCATGCTTTTTTTTTTTAAAAAAAATCCTTGTTCACAAGTGGCCTTATCGATCTAAAACCTAGAGAAGGACAAGTAAGTGCACTGCTTGTGCATTTTTTAAATATATTTATTTATATTTAAATATATATTTATTTATATATTTAACAATAACACTGTTGAGTAATAGGTGGTGAAAGTTGGCAAATGTTCATGGATGCTGAACTATTCTGACTGAAACTTACATGGAAAATTTATAAATTATGATGGGTTATCTCAAGATCACATTTCCTAAACGTAAACCTCAGTGGAACCCAAATCTGAAGATGACAGTCATTTTTATTTAATATTTGCAGTTAAGAAACTTAAAACACATTGAGAATATATAATAGTTACAAATAAGACAAACATTTGGAGTCAGTTTTTCTAGATCTAGAAAACAGTCACTGGAGATATGATTACTATCTTTATTACTAGTGTTATAGAAATAAAAATGGGCACAAATCCATCCGTCTGCAATAAATCAAGGAACAAGAAACAAGAAGAGGAAGACAGAAGCACCAACAAAGCTTAAGGTGGAAGAAGCAGACTGTGGTCATCTGTGGATAATTCATTCAAGCACATGTTCGATTTGACCTTGTCTTGTAAACCATAATAACCAGTGTAGCAATGAGAAGGAAGGATACAATAAGCACTGTACTGCTTATTTTTGCTCATGACATCAGGAAATTGTAAAAGGGCTATTTTGGCAAAATTAACCAATTAAGAGGGAATTTTGCGGTATCTGAAGTTTATGGAAGTATCTCAAGTAAATGGAAGATGACATTTTCTCTTTATGTACTAAATCAGTGTTAAGGTATTGCCAATTTTATTTCAGTATGTCCAGTTCTTAACCAGTCTTAAGAAATATTCTGATATTTGGACAACAGAAACAAACAAAGCAAAGCCAACATTTCTGTCCTTAAAGGTTCATTCACTAAATGAAACTCTGACATACTTTATTTAATGATTACTAAGCCATACTCAGTATCATATATTTAATTCCTTTTTTTAAGTTTTAATGTTTATTTACTTTTGAGAGAGAGATTGAGAGAGAGGAGAGACAGAGTGTGAGCAGGGAAAGGGCAGAGAGAGAGAGGGAGACACAGAATCCGCAGTAGGCTCCAGGCTCTGAGTGTCAGCATAAAGCCTGATGCAGGGCTCAAGCCAGTGAACTGTGAGATCATGACCTGAGCTGAAGTCATGATTTATTTTGAGGGAAAGAAAGAGAGAGAACCAGTGGGGAAGGGGCAGAGAGAGATGGAGAAAGAAGATCCAAAGCTCTGCACTGACAACAGAGAGCTTGATGCAGGGCTCCAACCCATGAACTGTGAGATCATGACCTGAGCTGAAGTCAGACGCTTAACTAACTGAGCCACTCAGGTGCCCCTATATTTCCTTTTCTTAGTGGACTTTATACTATTACCCAGTTTTATATATGCCACGTTGAGGTAGAAATGTTAATATAAGTGTGATTTATATTTAAGATAGACATAATTAAAGAAGAAAACACAAAAAATTAGAAAAAAAACATAAAAAATATTTCCAATTCAAGTTTCATTTTGCATTTCCTAACAAGACAAAGTCACAATTGCCAAGCAGCATTAACACATGCCTGATCAGGATTAAGTATGAGAACTTTGCAAGCTTATATTCATCAATTGCTTTCATTTTCCAACATCTGTGACTACAATTTTCCTCTGCAAGGTGAGAAATATTTTACAAGATAATTCTATGTAAGTGATTGTATTCCTCTTATCCCATACTCATAGCATAACTTGAGTTTATAAAGCTTTCAACTGGAAAATCCTATTATATTGTCATGAATATTATATTTTTATATAAGGGCTTATTTTTTAGGTTGCCTCTTTTGTTGCTGCAGACCTCTTTATCATAATTTTCCCTTTCCTTCAGATTTTCTATTCTACTTCTTCAGTCTTTCTCCCTTATCACTTTCTTCTCCTAGGCGTCTTTCATTTTGATTTTATTGTCTCCATCTCTTTCCTTCCTTTTACTCTCTATCTTTATATTTTGTCTCTAAGTCAAACCCTCTCCTCCTGTGTTTTATACCTGTGGTGTACTTACTGTACTAATGGCCTGCATCAATGGCCCCCTTTTTCCATAACCTTTGCCTTGTTACTTTTGATCCCCTCCCACTTGGACTCCAGCTCAGTAATATGACAAAGGGAGAAGACAGCAAACGTGAAGCAAAAGAGAGGATTGAAAACGTATGTGCACATTTCTACCTTCTTTCTTGGCCCCCTGCCACTGCCATGAGAATGTACACTGTTAGTCTCCTGAAAATATATGAGAGGCATATGGAGGAAAGTTTCCTTAGCAGCAGGGGTCGACTTTGACCAGCTAGCCCCTAGTCAATCTACCAGCTAACAGCTGACACGTGAATAAGCCCAGCTGAGATCAAGAGAGTACAAACCAGATCAGCAGTACTGTGAAGCTGATCCATAGGTATCTTGTAAGACATAAGAAATGGAGTTGTTTAAATAACTACATTTTGGGGTGATTTGTTACACAGCAATACTAACCAATGCATTTTCTATTAGAGATCTAAGAGCAAATACAAACAGAGAAGTTTGGGTGTTTCTACATAAAATGAAGTAGCATTCTTCCTCTTAGGTTTCAGGGAATCAGATAAATATCTCTGTTCTTCTAGGTACAATTAAACTTGAAAGATTGGAACATTCCAGGAGAGTTTCATTTTCTGCATCTTACTTTCACTCTTCTAGATCTCTTTATTCCCTAGTTTATTCTCTTTCCTTTTTATTCCAAAAAATGAAGACCAATGTGTCTCAGTTACCTAGCTTCAGACTCATTTAACCTAAGGAAAATCCATCTGAAACTAAAATGGGTAGCCTAACAATGTAGACAGTTTTCTGCCACTGAAAACAATCCTATCATAAATTGGCCAAACCCTTTAGGAAGATAATTGTAGATGACCTGTAAAGACCCTTTCAAGCCACCATTCTATGGTTTTACTCTGTTGAATGATTTTGACCTTTCCAAGCTTCAATAAGTAAATTGTTAACAAGGTGAAAAACTGTACCTATTTGTAAGAGAACTGAGGTAGGCAGAAATCATTGCCTGCTTCTAAGGGTAACATTTTAACTTGCTACTGGTTTTCTAGTTATACTTATTCATGGGACAGTGACTTCTGAGGACTGGGTCTGACAAACCACTATTACCATCAAGAACTCTATTATAAGTCTTAATATAATGTGGAAATATAAAACAGAAAATAAATTTCTGAGAATATTACCTACCATATAAAAATTATTTTCCCCAAAAGGCACATGCACATATACTCTCCATGCGATTTGCTAAGATAGAATAAATTCACTCACTTATTAGACATTAATTGAATATTTTCTGTGTTTTACTGTAGGCACTAGGATTATAGAAGAGAACAGAACAAAGACCCTGCTCTCACAGAGCTTATGTTCTAGAAGGCAGAGAGTGATATTAAAAAGTGAATACAGGGGTGCCTGGGAGGCTCAGTCGGTTAAGCATCCGACTTTGGCTCAGGTCATGATTTCACAGTTCGTGGGTTTAAGCCCCGTGTCAGGCTCTGTGCTGATAGCCAGCTCAGAGCCCGGAGACTGTTTCGGATTCTGTGTCTCCCTGTCTCTCTGCCCCTCCCCTGCTCATACTGTCTCTTTTTCTCTCAGAAATAAATAAAACATTTTAAAAAAAGTGAATGTAAAAACATAAAGTATGCTGGGAGGTGGTAAGTGCTAAGGAGGAAACTAAAGTATGGCAAAGAGATAGAAGGGGCTAGAGGCCTCCTTTAAGAGATGGAGTCACAGAAAGTTTCTGTGATGAGATGATTTTTCTACAGTAATGAGCCTGCCATGTGGATATTTGAGGTAAATTCTGAGTAGAGGAACCAGTACAGGCAAAGGCTTTGACTAAATTGCTTCTGGTGTCTTTCAGAATTAAAAGGGTACCACTGGAGCATGAAGAGTAAGTAAGACTCTCAAAGGAAATCAGAGGTGCTGGGGGCATGTCATAGGGAGCACACATTCCCTGTAAGCCATGGCAATGACTTTGAATTTTATTTCATGTTGTACAGTGATGGTTTAGAGAGTTTTGAACAGAGGAAGGCTGTTCTTTTACATCTGAAAAAGATCACACTGTGATCTATTGTATGGTCAAGTCTGTAAGGGTCAAGAGGAGACAGAAAAACTAGTTAGGAAGGCATCACAGTTGTCCAGATAAGAGATGGGTGGCTTGGGCTACACTGGAGTGATATGTGTAGGAGGTAGAAGGGATGGAGAGATGGATTCCAGATGAATCGTGAAGGCACTATCATTGAGAAATGCCATGGATGTGAGGAGAGTAGGAGAAATAAGAGGTCAATGATGTCACCATGGTCTTTGGTCTCAATAGCAGGAAGAAGGGAGTTGAGCATTTTATTAGGGCTGCCACGTCATCCACCTTCAGGGGTGTTTCACGCCACAGGCCAGAAGGAGCTGTCTGCCTGTGCAGAGGGACGCCTGTGCAGCACTGAAGGAAAGTACTGGAATGTCCAGAGATGGACAAAATGAGAAGAGGAAGGTTTGGAAAAGGA